ACATTCTACAGGTAATCTAGCCGGCATCAGTTAACATTCAACAGGTAATCTAGCTGGCATAAGTTAACATTCTACAGGTAATCTAGCTGGCAAAAGACAACATTCTACAGGTACTCTAGCTGGCATAAGTTAACATTCTACAGGTAATCTAGCTGGTATAACAAGTTAACATTCTACAGGTAATCTAGCTGGTATAACATGTTAACATTCTACAGGTAATCTAGCTGGCAAAAGACAACATTCTACAGGTAATCTAGCTGGTATAACAAGTTGACATTCTACAGGTAATCTAGCTGGCATCAGTTAACATTCTACAGGTAATCTAGCTGGTATAACAAGTTAACATTCTACAGGTACTCTTGCTGGTATAACAAGTTAACATTCTACAGGTAATCTAGCTGGCATAAGTTAACATTCTACAGGTAATCTAGCTGGTATAACAAATTGACATTCTACAGGTAATCTAGCTGGTATAACAAGTTGACATTCTACAGGTAATCTAGCTGGTATAACAAGTTGACATTCTACAGGTAATCTAGCTGGTATAACAAGTTGACATTCTACAGGTACTCTAGCTGGCATAAGTTAACATTCTACAGGTAATCTAGCTGGTATAACAAGTTGACATTCTACAGGTAATCTAGCTGGTATAACAAGTTGGCATTCTACAGGTAATCTAGCTGGTATAACAAGTTGACATTCTACAGGTACTCTAGCTGGCATAAGTTAACATTCTACAGGTAATCTAGCTGGCAAAGACAACATTCTACAGGTAATCTAGCTGGTATAACAAGTTGACATTCTACAGGTACTCTTGCTGGTATAACAAGTTAACATTCTACAGGTAATCTAGCTGGCATAAGTTAACATTCTACAGGTAATCTAGCTGGTATAACAAATTGACATTCTACAGGTAATCTAGCTGGTATAACAAGTTGACATTCTACAGGTACTCTAGCTGGCATAAGTTAACATTCTACAGGTAATCTAGCTGGTATAACAAGTTGACATTCTACAGGTAATCTAGCTGGTATAACAAGTTGACATTCTACAGGTACTCTAGCTGGCATAAGTTAACATTCTACAGGTAATCTAGCTGGCAAAAGACAACATTCTACAGGTAATCTAGCTGGTATAACAAGTTGACATTCTACAGGTAATCTAGCGGGCATAAGTTAACATTCTACAGGTAATCTAGCTGGTATAACAAGTTGACATTCTACAGGTAATCTAGCTGGTATAACAAGTTGACATTCTACAGGTAATCTAGCTGGTATAACAAGTTGACATTCTACAGGTACTCTAGCTGGCATAAGTTAACATTCTACAGGTAATCTAGCTGGTATAACAAGTTGACATTCTACAGGTATTCTAGCTGGTATAACAAGTTGACATTCTACAGGTAATCTAGCTGGTATAACAAGTTGACATTCTACAGGTACTCTAGCTGGCATAAGTTAACATTCTACAGGTAATCTAGCTGGCAAAAGACAACATTCTACAGGTAATCTAGCTGGTATAACAAGTTGACATTCTACAGGTAATCTAGCGGGCATAAGTTAACATTCTACAGGTAATCTAGCTGGTATAACAAGTTAACATTCTACAGGTAATCTAGCTGGTATAACATGTTAACATTCTACAGGTAATCTAGCTGGCAAAAGACAACATTCTACAGGTAATCTAGCTGGTATAACAAGTTAACATTCTACAGGTAATCTAGCTGGTATAACATGTTAACATTCTACAGGTAATCTAGCTGGCAAAAGACAACATTCTACAGGTAATCTAGCTGGTATAACAAGTTGACATTCTACAGGTAATCTAGCTGGCATCAGTTAACATTCTACAGGTAATCTAGCTGGTATAACAAGTTAACATTCTACAGGTACTCTTGCTGGTATAACAAGTTAACATTCTACAGGTAATCTAGCTGGCATAAGTTAACATTCTACAGGTAATCTAGCTGGTATAACAAATTGACATTCTACAGGTAATCTAGCTGGTATAACAAGTTGACATTCTACAGGTAATCTAGCTGGTATAACAAGTTGACATTCTACAGGTAATCTAGCTGGTATAACAAGTTGACATTCTACAGGTACTCTAGCTGGCATAAGTTAACATTCTACAGGTAATCTAGCTGGTATAACAAGTTGACATTCTACAGGTAATCTAGCTGGTATAACAAGTTGGCATTCTACAGGTAATCTAGCTGGTATAACAAGTTGACATTCTACAGGTACTCTAGCTGGCATAAGTTAACATTCTACAGGTAATCTAGCTGGCAAAAGACAACATTCTACAGGTAATATAGCTGGTATAACAAGTTGACATTCTACAGGTACTCTTGCTGGTATAACAAGTTAACATTCTACAGGTAATCTAGCTGGCATAAGTTAACATTCTACAGGTAATCTAGCTGGTATAACAAATTGACATTCTACAGGTAATCTAGCTGGTATAACAAGTTGACATTCTACAGGTACTCTAGCTGGCATAAGTTAACATTCTACAGGTAATCTAGCTGGTATAACAAGTTGACATTCTACAGGTAATCTAGCTGGTATAACAAGTTGACATTCTACAGGTACTCTAGCTGGCATAAGTTAACATTCTACAGGTAATCTAGCTGGCAAAAAGACAACATTCTACAGGTAATCTAGCTGGTATAACAAGTTGACATTCTACAGGTAATCTAGCGGGCATAAGTTAACATTCCCACAGGTAATCTAGCTGGTATAACAAGTTGACATTCTACAGGTAATCTAGCTGGTATAACAAGTTGACATTCTACAGGTAATCTAGCTGGTATAACAAGTTGACATTCTACAGGTACTCTAGCTGGCATAAGTTAACATCATTCTACAGGTAATCTTAGCTGGCAAAAGACAACATTCTACAGGTAATCTAGCTGGTATAACAAGTTGACATTCTACAGGCAATCTAGCTGGGCATAAGTTAACATTCTACAGGTAATCTAGCTGGTATAACAAGTTGACATTCTACAGGTAATCTAGCTGGTATAACAAGTTGACATTCTACAGGTAATCTAGCTGGTATAACAAGTTGACATTCTACAGGTACTCTAGCTGGCATAAGTTAACATTCTACAGGTAATCTAGCTGGTATAACAAGTTAACATTCTACAGGTAATCTAGCTGGTATAACATGTTAACATTCTACAGGTAATCTAGCTGGCAAAAGACAACATTCTACAGGTAATCTAGCTGGTATAACAAGTTGACATTCTACAGGTAATCTAGCTGGCATCAGTTAACATTCTACAGGTAATCTAGCTGGTATAACATGTTGGCATGCTACAGGCAAACTAGCTGGTATAACAAGTTGACATTCTACAGGTAATCTAGCTGGCATCAGTTAACATTCAACAGGTAATCTAGCTGGCATAAGTTAACATTCTACAGGTAATCTAGCTGGTATAACAAGTTGACATTCTACAGGTAATCTAGCTGGTATAACAAGTTGACATTCTACAGGTAATCTAGCTGGTATAACAAGTTGACATTCTACAGGTACTCTAGCTGGCATAAGTCAACATTCTACAGGTAATCTAGCTGGCAAAAGACAACAATCTACAGGTAATCTAGCTGGTATAACAAGTTAACATTCTACAGGTAATCTAGCTGGCATAAGTTAACATTCTACAGGTAATCTAGCTGGTATAACAAGTTGAAATTCTACAGGTAATCTAGCTGGCAAAAGACAACATTTTCTACAGGTAATCTAGCTGGTATAACAAGTTGACATTCTACAGGTAATCTAGCTGGTATAACAATTTGACATTCTACAGGTAATCTAGCTGGTATAAGTTGACATTCTACAGGTAATCTAGCTGGTATAACAAGTTGACATTCTACAGGTAATCTAGCTGGCATAACAAGTTGACATTCTACAGGTAATCTAGCTGGCATAAGTTGACATTCTACAGGTAATCTAGCTGGTATAACAAGTTAACATTCTACAGGTAATCTAGCTGGTGTAACATGTTAACATTCTACAGGTAATCTAGCTGGCAAAAGACAACATTCTACAGGTAATCTAGCTGGTATAACAAGTTGACATTCTACAGGTAATCTAGCTGGCATAAGTTAACATTCTACAGGTAATCTAGCTGGTATAACAAGTTGACATTCTACAGGTAATCTAGCTGGCATAAGTTAACATTCTACATGTAATCTAGCTGGTATAACAAGTTAACATTGTACAGGTAATCTAGCTGGTATAACAAGTTGACATTCTACAGGTAATCTAGCTGGTATAACAAGTTGACATTCTACAGGTAATCTAGCTGGTATAACAAGTTGACATTCTACAGGTAATCTAGCTGGCATAAAGTTAACATTCTACAGGTAATCTAGCTGGTATAAAAGTTGACATTCTACAGGTACTCTAGCTGGTATAACATGTTGGCATGCTACAGGTAATCTAGTTGGCATAAGTTAACATTCTACAGGTAATCTAGCTGGTATAACAAGTTAACATTCTACAGGTAATCTAGCTGGCATAAGTTGACATTCTACAGGTAATCTAGCTGGTATAACAAGTTAACATTCTACAGGTAATCTAGCTGGTATAACATGTTAATATTCTACAGGTAATCTAGCTGGCAAAAGACAACATTCTACAGGTAATCTAGCTGGTATAACAAGTTGACATTCTACAGGTAATCTAGCTGGCATCAGTTAACATTCTACAGGTAATCTAGCTGGTATAACATGTTGGCATGCTACAGGTAATCTAGCTGGCATAAGTTAACATTCCACAGGTAATCTAGCTGGTATAACAAGTTAACATTCTACAGGTAATCTAGCTGGTATAACAAGTTGACATTCTACAGGTAATCAAGGTGACATAACATTTTAACATCCTGTAGGTAAATATTATGAAGCATCATTACATAGAAATCATTAGTTTGGACAGGTGAATTTCTTAAATTTTACCTCATCTAAAAGTGACAAAACAAAACAAAGCAAATCTAAGATGTAATTCACTTTATTCTTTATAACTTTTGCAAATACAGAAATTAAACATTTCTTAACAGTGAAAAATATCCACAAGGACGGAATGTAACATTACTTGTAAAATATGGATGAAGGAATGTTAAGTAAACCGACAGGGAGGCTGTTGCCTCATTCTCAAAACCCTCAAACACACATACACCCTTACCCCACAAAGGTAATTATACAGATAAATATCTAAAAACATAATATAAATATGTTATTGTATTACTAATTGTATTTTTCTCTTTCCAACAACTTACAAGACAGTAATTGGTATTTTAAAGGCATCAAATCACATCACAATAACCAACTCTGATAAACACAGCATGATAGAGACAGACATAAGTTCATATTAATGGACAAGTTCTTCCTTCTCAATAACCTTTGGCCATCATATTTAATTAATGATATGTACAATTAAAAATTGAAAAGTGTGGATTTGTAGTTACAACATTCAAAACATGTCAATTCAGCGAATTTAGTTGTAAATTTAATTTCCATTAGATTTGGATTATCTCCTGAAAATAACTGATTTGATCCAAAGGTGAAAATATTTAACTCTTTTACAACTTTGGTAAGAATTCTAGTGAGTTAAGTACTGGCACAAGGCAGCAAGCAACGCCTGGCTCCTGTACACCTGCCACAATCACCAGATAGTGGCATGAGGCACTTACTGCAGGAATAGCGCTTTACCAAACGATCTTACACATACAGGAGAAAATCTGAGATAGGCACTCTTACATAAATGAAAGATGATATTAAACAGTCAAATCTGGAGAGATCTGCAAAATTATAGTGAAACAGGCTGTCTTTTGATAGTGGATTTCTCTTTTTGTCAAAAAACAAAAGATTTTCTAAACGCTAGTTCATCATGAAAGTTACAAAATATATGCAATTTTTCAGGTCCTCAAATGTCATCAAATGACTGTCAGTATTCAATAAATATCAACAAGAAGATACCAAACACCCTTTCAAAAGGCTACTAAAATATATCCTTCGAAATTGCTGGTATTCAGGTACAATGTATCTATAGTTTGGACAATATTTAGTATGTGTTTGTGTTTATCGTATGAACATTCAGTACATTACAAATAACATGTTTCGCTGTCTACACATTTGTTTCATGAATAAATATTGGCCTCTCCGTTGTGATGAAAAATGTTATAGATCAGAATGATAAACGAAGTGTACATATTCTGAATTTTGAAAGATATCGAACAGGGCATTGAAGTATGTCAATTGAGCAATTACAGTTATGGACTGTTAAATACATACTATAAATGCATGAGTCTCAAGCCAAAGTTGTGACAGTTGGCAGTTGGCCAATACAACTGACTTGTGTTTGCATGGAATGTCATGGAGAAAAGCAATTCAATATAGAATGAGATGAAACAAGCACCACATATATGAAAACACCTTGATATTCAATCATATCAGAATTATATAGAGTCATTAGTGCAGTCAGAAAACATTGCAGTGGCAGATTAATACTTAGTGAAAGAAGGATAATACGAGGGAACAAGTAGAATTACATAATATTCGTAACACAAGCAAATATAGATTGAAAACCGTCCCCCAATAACAAAAAAAGATGACGTTCATTGGAAACGGAACATGGAAATGCATAACAAAATGCAAACTTGAGTCTGATGAACACCAGTGGGTTGAACCTTAAGGCTCTATTCCCTAAAGAGCTATGGTGACAAACACTTTAACAGATTTACGACAGTTGAAGCACTACAATAGTTTTATGGACTGGGGCCTGGAGACGGGATTCCAAGACCAAGGACACCATTCCATGAAGTGATCTGACTGCAACTTTTGTCGTAACTACATGTCAAAGTATGTGATGGCAACTCCAAATTAATTCAGACTGGTAATAAATTTGTGTATTTAATGCAAATTAAAAAATTTATGCTTGGAACCTATGCATATGACTTTGTTGGACCATACATTTAAGGTACCTGTGCATATGGAGTTACTTCCCTTTCCCTACCAGTAACACAGCTTTGTGTTCAATGTTCTGATTGGTTGATCATCCTGGGAGATGATGATGATATCATAATGATTGATGATTATCCATGGTTAAATGTGAAGCGATAAGTGAGACATATGCCAATTCTTGAGCACAGGTTAAACTACCAAACACCCAAATCCTAAAAATAAAATTCCAATGTGAAAAACATGCTGTATACTACTTCCCAATATTAAGTAGATGCAAGTAATGACTTTCATTGTGTTGTACGATTATGATTCTTTGAAATCCTGGACTGTCATGTGAGATACTTCTGGAATAAGATCAGCATCTCATCATCCTCGTTCTCCCTGGCGTCCTCCATGATGGTGAGGCCATCGCTATTGGGGATGTTTCTGTTGGCCCCTGCCCTTAGCAACAGGTCGATGATGTCCTCGCTGCTGTTGGTGTAAGCATGCCATAGCGCTGTCCATCCATCTGTATCCTGGATGTTCACATCTGCGTTGTACTGCACAGAACAGAGAAACTGTTTCAGCTTTTCTATGAATGAGTTGGATTCAATGCCACTTTGAACAATTCTTCAGTCATATCACAACCAGACAGATAATTAGAGAATAACAAAGAAGCTATGAAATACACAATGCCATTTTAGAAAGTGGTCAAATGTAACATATGTTATATTTGGGATTACACTTTCTTAGTAAAGTACAGATTCTAGTACTTTTTGGGTTGAGTCCCATCCGGGATTCGAACCCGCACCCTCAGAGTCAGGCACCTAATCGCCAGCACACAAAGTCAGACGCATAGACCGCTCAGCCACCGCGGCTTCCACGGTGTAGAATCTGTACTTTACTAAGAAAGTGTAATCCCAAATATAACATGTAACAAAAGAGCTCCTCAGAATTACAGATTATCTGTGCCGAGTGAATGATTGGTGCTAATCTTGAGCCTTTGGCGATGGACTTACAGCGCTGTTCACGAGGGACAGAAAAGTATGAGTTTGAGTAGGTTATTCTACATGTTAACCATTGACATTTCTTTTTACATTGGCTCCTCATGGTGAAGGCCAAATTTTATACCCCATGTAGTTGTAGCAGCCATTGAAGTTCCATGCAGGATTCAAACCATGGACCTTCTGATCTGATGCTTTGTCCACATGACCAAAGAGGTTAACTGACTCAGCAAGCTGTGGGATGACCCCTTACTACACAGTGATACTGCTGGAAATTGGCTAAAATCAGTGTACAACCACACTCATCCACACACCACTACAGCTTATTAATAATTCACATGTTTGACAGATTGTAAGTTAGACCTTGTAATCATTTAACAACCCAAGATTATAAAAAGTGTAATCCCAAATATAACATATGTTACATTTGACCACTGTCTAAAATGGCATTGTGTACAACCTAGATTAGACCCATTTACTGTTGTGACAATCTGTGCTACACAGTTGATAGGGTGGAAATCTGCTAGAGGCAGTGTACAACCACACTCATCACCCATTTGATATTGTGCATTTTGGAACTTTCTCCAATTAAGGAACATAGCTTAGAAACTTTACTTTTAAAAGAATCTTCACAACATCCTGGTGTTCGTTGCTTGCTGCAGCAATAAGTGATGTCTGCCCATCATCCTCACACTGGAAGTTGACGTCTGCTCCTGATGTCACCAACATGGAGGCAATCTTGGTCAGGCCCTCGGAGCACGCCACATACAGTGGTGACTGTCCGCGCTTATTTTTACAGCTAAGGTCAACTTTCCCTGAGAAACAGAAAATTTTATGAATAACTAAATACAAAACTTACATGCTCAATGTTTATGAAAGTGTTAAAGTTATCAGGAGTGCTAAATAAGTTGAACAAAGCGAGAAGCCAATTTGTCTCATATGATTTCAGTTCTGCGAGTCAGTGGTTGATTTTCACTGAAATCCTCGGCTTTAGTCTTCTAAGCATGTACAATGATATTGGTACACTTCCATGAAATCATATGCATGACCCATTGTTCATGCCTTGAAAGATATAACTGAATCTATTTTTTTTAAGTCCCAGGTAAATCTGTGACATACAGATATGCTTTTACCATTCTGGCATTTGGTCTGCGGATATCAAATCAAGTCTTTGATTCATATTAAGAACATGACATGAAACTGGTTATGGATAACGAACCTCTTCATTCTTTTCAACATTTCAGGATTACTTCTTGCCCCTTTACCAGGTGATTCAGAGAGACAAAGGAACTTTTTACCCATGAAAGGTTACCTGTTTCCACCTTCTATGTGAGATTACGAGTATTTACATTACCTTCATTTATCAGGACGCTGACCAGCTTGGTGCTGCCTTTCTCCACAGCAACATGGAGTGGTACCTCTCCATCAGATAATGCGAGGTTACCATCAATGCCCTTCTTCAGCAATAATTCACACACCTAAAAGTCAGAAAAGACGTCGTCTTCATACAAGCAACTCCAAATATATTTGGCTATGGTGATTTATTATGCATTTATTATACAAATATGCACCTTAGGTTGAGCTTTGTATACTTATCCCTTTATAAGATGAGTATAATCATATGATTCAGTCTAAGGAATCTTACTTTTGCCTGATTCTTTTTGACAGCATTCTCAAATGGTGCCAGATTGTTGTTGTCATGGTAATTGATGTCACAGCCTTCCTCAATTAGAAATAACGCCACTGCTTCATTTCCTGGGGACACAAATCTGAACATAGTAGTACAACACAGGGAAAAGACATGTTGCTAATGCGAAAGAACAGTCATTTGACCCCCAATAACTTTCTACTCAATAATCAATGATACAAACAATATTTACTCATGGGTTATGACAAGTTTCCCTTTTTTCATGCTTAATTTTGAACACTGTTGAGAGTTTCTACAAAATGTTCTTCGTACAACACAAATTGCGAGCTTCAATATGTTCAGTTTCAAAACTCTTTTACTCATTACCCGTGAAGATCCAGGTTAGAACTGGTCTTCAGCAACAAATGCTGTAAGAGGCAACTAACTGGATTGGGATGTCAACTTGGTTGACACATGACACTGTATAGATCGATGCTCATGATGCATTACTGGATTGGACCATCTCCTGGTTTCGTGGTTTGGGACTGTCGCGGAGGATCCCCAACCGGTCACACCGCGTTAAAATATGGTACTTGGTCCCTGCCTGGCCGGCATTAATGGGTACAACAAGGACTGTCGGCTCTCGAGTCAGTATAATCTGAGTGGGGTATTCATGCATGGTATCCCAGTGGCTGCACTATAAAACCAGCTTAGTCTGGGCTATTGCATACACATACACACACTGCATCCATAGCAAAATATTCTCAAGCACGATGTTAAACCCAATTTCACCTCACCTCATTATTTGGATTGACTGACAGACCACCACCACAATAGCTTTTATGCATCATAGGACATGAACACCTACCAGCATCAATTGCTTGCTGCAGTGGTGTCCATCCATAGTAGATGCAATTGATTTTGGCTCCTTTCAGGAGCAAAGACTGAATCTGTAGCAGTTGACCACCCCTCACGGCATTATGTAAGTCTTGTTCCAAGGTAGACATGATACTGATTTGTAGTCCTTCTGTCTAGTTCATTGTGGGCTGTTTGTGAAAAAGAACATCACTTATTTAGTTCTCATTTTATATGTGATCAGTGTTACGCATTCAGGGAATTAGTGAAGCTTCTAAAGGTTAATAGAAGATGTGGAAACATATACAAATATCAGTGACCAAAGTTATGTTTGATGAGGCTTCTTATTAGTGCTGGTAACGGCATGCAACCTGAGAGTCGATACATCACGTTAATACAATTTTTGTCACAACGATATATTGCCAAAATATTGTGCACTTAAGCTGCGATACAATACGAATCCCGATACAAGGGTGGTGATACGATACGTAACACGATACTAAAGTCTTTAATTCTAACACCAACTATAAAACACCTCATGATCAAAACGAAACCAATCTTACAGTATTTCGTCAAATTCCGCCAGCATTGTTCAATGTGCATTCGGAAACGAGATAATTAAGTTTATACACTGACTTTGTGAATGTTGATTACATGTGAGCGTTATGTCTGACACAGTTCTTGACGCAAGAATTTCTGAGAAAATGTTTAATTATGAATTGGAAATAAGTAAGCATATATTTTAATCACCAAACAAAAGTAAGGCATTTTTCTTGAGAGATATCGCGATACGGCAATATTCAAAGTTAAACATTGATGTATCGTGGCCCATTTGACATAGTATCGTATCAGGATATCCGACAACGTAAAAGTTTGTATCGATTCACTGTATCAGCGGCCCATGGATCGATGCATCGATGCATATCGATGAATCGTCTCACCACTACTTCCTATATTTAGGGGGCACAGGTGACTCAGTTGTCTAAAGTGAAGCAGGATCATGTGCAGAGTTGCATCCCTTGGGAAAGCCAGCTGTCTTTTGTGGTCAAATCTGGTGTTGCCTTAATTAATGTATTTGTTTTTTCAGGGAGCATACCGTCACCAAAAGAGGAAAATGTCTGATCATGAGACTTGTTTAGGGATATAATCCAACATTATGCGGAAATACTGTGATATAACAGGAATACTATGGCGATAAATGTAACTCACTCACTGCCTATTTTAAGTGGGTTTTTTAACTTGCACCATATATTCCCAGTTTGTGAACGAACATCTGCTATAGTATCACTATTTTCAAGATTGATAACATATGCTTTGAATTAAATTGATTTGTAAAGATGTTTCCAGAATTGTTCTCAACAATAATTTTCCGAACTCCTCGTTTTTCCTCGTTGATCGTTGCTCAGGTAACGACCACGGTCAAAACAGGCTAACTACGGCCTAAAACAATATCGATCACTCACTCAATCTGCCGAAGGCATGGCCGATTATTCTGGGTTAGTACGATTTCATTGCTAATGCCCGTACAGTAGGCATACACATTTGACATGTATCTATCTGTTATTGTATCAAGCTACACTTACGGCTGTAAAGAAAGTTCAGAGGCCTAATTCCTTGCTACCTTCTGTGCTGTTCTGAAACACGGAGCATCAACAATCAACACATCATGACAGAGCGTGTTTACGAAGGGAGCTAACTCTCGCTGTCGCAGTTGAGCTCACCACACAGGCACAGCTCCTAACCGCACTTTACTCGTAATGAGAAAACAGCACATGTGGGTGTCATGTCTGGCGTTTTCAGTTTTGGCTATGAATATATTAATTTGATATAGCTTCACAACATTGCTTTTGTTATTCATAACTCCACGGGTGATTAGGATAACCATGTTTTTTTCCTAAATTTAAAAAAAGAAAAGAAATTACTATAGGTGATAACAGAGACCATATAATATAATATTTATTATATGGTCTCTGGTGATAACGATTGTTGAATAACTTGCTACAAGGGGTAACGTATATTCTGTATATAGTTAAATAACCTGATATTAAAGTTTTTTTCTAAGAAACCAGACAGTTTAAGACCATTCTCCTTAAAATCAGAAGTTTTAAAAGTCAAACTGCGGCATGGTATCTCAGTGGGCTAGCACTATAAAACCAGCTTCAGTCTGGGCTTGTACAAGCAGCCGCACGTACACATACACATACACACGCATGCACGTTGTCATATGAGCGAAATATTCTCAAGCACAACGTTAAACCCAATTTCACCTCACCTCATATGGAAATGTAAGTGCAATTCCATGATCCCAGAGGAGTGGTGGAGTAGCAAAGTGATTAAAGCATTCGCTCGTAACGCGGAAGACCCGGCTTCAATTCCCATTTTGGTTACAATGTGTGCAGCCCATTTCTGGTGTGGATATTGCTAGAAAATTGCTAAAAGCGGCGTAAAACAAAACTCATTCGCTCACTCACTCCATGATCCTAGGACATTATGCTTCTTCATTCTTGTGTAGCCAAAGAGTGAGTGAGTGTGTTTAGTTTTACGCCACACTCAGCAATGTAAATAATTGAGTCTGGACCAGACAATCCAGTGATCAACAGCATGAGCATCAATCTGTGCAATTGGGATACGGAGGCATGTGACAAGCATGGATTACTGAAGACCAATTCTGTGTAGCCAGTAGACCAGATTATTCAAACAGATGTTTCAGGTGAATTTTCGTTTTTTAATTCTTCGCCAAACTGCTTCTCATATCCTGGAATGGTGGAACATCTTGAAGGTTTTTGGTACTATATTTCTTCTTCAGACTTTCAGACTTATTCCTATGCCTCACCAGGTACACTTGCTTGACTTGTTAGTCAGAGAAAACTGACAATTTTATAACTGTTCATAAGTCAAGCCTAAGAAATAATATTTTAGAATATATTTATATCGAGTCTTGTCCACAATATTGGTTAATCTTCCATGGTTTAATGTGACATTTTCAATTAGTTGTAAAAGACCTTTCTTCCATCACTCCCACCTAATCAAAGGGAGGTAACTCTAAGTATATTTTCCGCCATGTCTGGGAGACTGGCCCCACTTCCAGAATGTTGTGTGTCTTGAGCCATGAAGTTTGACACTCTGAGTCATGTTGCTCATATCTTTTTCAGTGTCATTTAAAAACATATATGAAGAAAGTGTTTACAATGAGGAGAGTAAATCCAGGAAAAGCTGAATGGTTGATGATAAGTGTGGTGTGTATGTGGTATAAGTTAAGTATCTGTTTTACTCAAATTTCAAGGTATTCCTGATAATTTTTCATGATGAAGTGTTAATACAAACATATTAACATACTTTTTTTCTGAAATAAGTTGTGTTTTAATACTGGAACAAGAAATGGGGAAATTCATACTGAAGTTCATTTGGGGAATCCTACTTCATATGTATTTTGGAATCAAATGGAAGGAGGCTGGTGTATTACAAGGCATTTCTACTTCGAAAATCATAGGAATCACCAGAAAAACACAAAACAATTTCACTTGTTTTTGACCTGAACAGTTAACTGACTGAACAATTAATCAATTAACTTCTTTGTGTATTTTATATTTGTCTCCTCACAGACAAGTAACACATATCAGGCGAACAGCCACATAATAATTATTTCAGTCCAAATTCAAGTTACAGGTTCAGCAAGATGATATCCAGTGGCAGTAAGTATATATGTTGTGGAACGATGATGTCCATGTTTCTTGATTCAAATTTCAATCTTCCCTGTGTGAATATGCAGAGACCATATACCGATATATGGTCTTTGGAATAAATAATCATATAAGATATGTACATGGTACAGTCAGCATGTTTTCTTGACATGAAAGGATGGGGTTTCTAAATTATGTACGATGTAAGTCCAATTGACTTGAACTGCATTAAATTCTATTGATATCATTTTAGTTGTTTATTATCGACTCCACAAGATAAAGATAAAAAATTAATGTGGTCTAGCAAACAATGCAGGTGAGTGGGGGAATATTCTGAAATATTGTGAAAACTAAATTGTTAAGAAATGTCTTGTCATGGAGCATAAATGTGACACTTATTGAAGTAAAGTAATACTTGTGTTATTCTAACACGTTTGACAGTATGATTTCAATATATATATATATATATTATGACAGTTTAAAATTAAAACTCTTACCTTTCAAACAAAGAAAATGTCTATTCAACCTGAAAAGAACTTCAAACTCTTGAGGCACCTTCTGGTAAGTGAGTAGAAAGGTGGATGGCACAGATATGACCAATGTTCGTGCATGGAGTTCGAGAGACTAATGTGAGACTGAGATCCGAACTCCCCACATTTTATATTTCGTACAATATTGGGGTACAAGGCACAACACATTTGAATACTCTTTATTTAAACCTGTGTTCAGACAGACAGCTATTTGAAACACAGACGTGCTCTTGTTCAGTTTAGATCGAGGTTTCATAAACTACGAAAGAAACAGGTAGGCATATTGGAGAGGCTAGGATAGAGTTTATAATATCTGTAAACTGTTATGTATAAAAGATGAATATCACTACTGGTTTATTTGTCATAAACGTCACGCATTGTGACGTGTGTACATCCCTTCACTACTTTTATGAATATCCATAAATTTGATATGCTTCTGAAGCATCAAATGCAAGCAAGCGGCTTGAAACATTTGTCAGTTTATACACACTAGTCTATGTTACTGAAACAGTTTATAAATATTACAATTTACTTTCTCATATGCGTAATTCTCAATATGAAAACCTGGGTCTATGGTCAATATTACTTCCTGAAATGAACCATTTGATTAATGGAAAATTGAAAACATATCACGGGATTACTTGAGGTCCGTATCTGAACTAAATACACTATATCCATTTGGGCATAGATTAACATACATTTTGACACACCGTCCTGGTCTATTTGCTGACACGAGAGTTACACAAAGCGTACAATACAGGCTTTCATCTCGTACAGAAACAAGGCCAACCACTGCTGATGCAATAAAAACATCGTGACGATTGTCTTTTCTCCTCATAAACCTGTCAAAAATATACCGCTCGAAGAGAGGTTTCAACGTTCGGTGATTCGTAAAGCTGGCAGATTACTTTAAATTGTCACAACCATATGCGATTGTCTGGACTATAGAATTTTCGATCTATTCCGACATAATGTCATTCCGACCTGTGTTGACGTGGAGTACAAGTTGATGTTATACAAAACAGGTAAGTTAGTGACTTTATATATATTTTTTTATTTATCATTACATAATGAATAATCCTCCATGTTTGCATCCCTTGTGATGAAAGAATCACCGTCAGTCATTGTCCCGCTAAACTGTATAGAATGTTCCAACATAAGGTATTCATATTTCATTTTCAAAACAATCAAGGCTATACTGTAGAATATGTGTTATTTCAATATATGCCTAAATTTCCCTACAATCGCCATTGGCTGAGGGGATGGTGTAAATGCGGCTTGTGTCCATGCAAGGTAGCCAAAGTATTGTAAGTTTCCATGGGCCCTAGTACGGTAATCTGACAATCTGTAGCCTGAGTTATATATTGTATCGTCATGTATAGTTAAATTATTATGGAATGAATTACTAGTTTGATTAATATCTGTGATAATCTAGTTGTTTTACTGTTGTTGTTTTTCCCCACCTATTCTTGTTTTAGTTACGATATGGGTGACATAGTGTTAAACTGACTTTTAAATTTTAACTCACTCACATAATTCATAACAGATTATGAGTAATAGCAATAGATGTATTCGTCTGTCACAGACACGAAGCGAACTACTGTTGATGCCCACTCACTAACTCACTCACTCAGTGTTGACACAGGTATTCACAGAGCATACAATAACAGACCTTCATCTCCCCACAGACGCAAATCTAGTGTAAAAAAAAAATGTATCGGGTTTATGTTTATAATCTATACAATAACAGAAACGTTGTCCATGTCTAAAACATATGAACTGAGAGCAATTAAGCATCTCCATCTATTCAGACAGGGACATTTACATAAAATTCTCTCCCTATGGAACACGGCAGAATAGAGCCAGTATCTTGCTTCGGCGAAATAGTCCTGGACCTACTCTCGGGAACGACATCCATAATGACATCTCATTCCCTGGGAACTGAACTAATATGAAATGCAAGCTATATTTGTTATAACAATACATATAGTTAACTAGACTCAGGGCATATGTAACATTCATGTAAAACAATAATAAGACACATCCCTCGAACCATTCATATTCAGGTATATTCCATCCGACAACTTGGGGGGTAATACTTCAGCAACACAGCACGAAGATTTTCATCGTTAAAATATAAGTTGCGGATGAGAATGTCCTGTATCCACCCTCCCAAGACATCATATATTATGTTATCTATGAAAGTGAACTGGTCATCCAAAGAATGCATTATTGAAATACATCAATCCACAGTGGTTATTGACAGAAAAACTACTTGCACTGCAGCGGTGCTAATGTATTGTTCAAAGAGGGTGTTCATGTTTTATAGTGGTTACTTAACTGAAGCAAAGTACAATAAACGTATTTTTGCCCCTTCTAAACCCGTTCAAAAAATACAGGTTCAGCGATCGGCGGTTCACTTGCGATTAGTTCCGTATCCGTCCTCGAGGATCCCGTCATCCGTCGATTTTAAAAAAAAGGAAAGAAAAAGGCGATAGGACTGTCGCGATAACGTCGTTATATCCGAGGATAAAACGTCACGATTCGAGGAAGTCATTCAAATAGAATAGAGCGACTGTCGACTCTCCTCAGCAACTATTGTGCGTCAACAAATACGAGCTTCGTCTTTTGATGTCTGGGATAATAAAACGTCACGCCCGTGCCGGGTTGATCGGGAGGTCGTTCTGTATTAACTTATACACTATATGGAGACATTGAAGACCCGGGTAAACGTAGAATTGACCTTTGGCAACCCCTGCTTGTCGTACGAGGAGACTAATTGGATCGGGTGGTCAGGCACCCTGACTTGGTTGACACATGTCATGGTTTCCCAATGGCGTAGATCGATGCTCTTGCTGTTGATCACTTGATTGTCTGGTTAAGACTCGAATATTACAGGCCGACGCCATATGGATGGGAGTGCAACAGACACACAAAAGACCGGTTAGTGTAGATTTGTCTCACACAGGGCGTGTCTCATGACCGAGACATAATAATACACTTTACCTACACATCAACATGATAAACACACCAGGAATGTGTGGTAATATATGGTCAGTTGAGCATGAAGACCATCTACATGTTTTTGAGTGATGGTATTTTTCTTTGACCTGTAAACAAATAGACCAACTGCGAGTAAAGTCTATTCAATGATGTCACTATCAGGCGATTTCGAATACAAAATAAATATCAGACATATATTATCTTTCCTTCAGTTTCAAATAAGCCATGCAATGGGTTCTCAGACGGTTGCTCTTACTTGTGTTTCCAGAACACGAGTAATCGAGCGAACGCAACCACGTCGTCTATTTTTAGATATGACATGGGGAGATTCCCTTGTGCGGAATTCAACTTGACTGCGGGGACAAACCGACATGGACAAGGAACATATGAGGCATCGTATCAACTTGACGTAACAGTATTATAAGGTATGTTCATTAGATATGATTAAAATCAACATAGTATGTTTGTTTCATATGCTTTTACGCAATAACCCGGAAGTTGAGTTTCAAAATTCATATCATCATGCATGTGGACAGAGACCATATAATAGTATTATATGGTCTCTGATGTGCATTACGATCTTGACCAAAGTGATGCATTGTAAAGTTATTTTAGTGATTAAGTCATTTAACTGACTAACTTTTGTCCATACTCGCTATGTTTGGGATAACGTGAGTTAATTTGTTTAGTTATAATACGCATGCAATGTTTACGATAATATTGATTATGACTTATTTAATCTGACAGTGTTTCAAGACTTGATCTAGTTATATAGAAATATTTAAGGACTTGACTCAAATAAAAATACGAATGGAACCCACAGCCTCCCATAGAAAATATTAAGCTTGAAGCCTGCCAAGGATTAAGAAACTGCGTAGAGCACATTATAGAGGGATTTCAGTACTGCCGGCGGAAATGGAAAGCTTTCCTTTTATAAATATAGAAACGTTCCTAATTTATGGCTAAGGTGTGTGGGGGTGGGAGGGCAGGGGCAGGGACATTGTTGTTAAAGTGAATAAAGTGAAGATCATACAGGGGGGGTGGGTGGGGGGGGGTGGGTACTATAGTGCCTGTGGATAACATATTAATTGTAATGCTTAGAATGTTGTTTCCTGCTTTCAGTGCTAGCACCAATAACAAAAGTACAAAGAATATTTGATATAAAAGACAGAATGGAGGAAACAATACCGATATCATGAACTGGCGGAATTGATGAACTGTCTTTTTGGTCACTGCTATTTATTGTGTATTTTAGTTGAAGTATGAATAAGGAATAACAGGGCATGAAACTTAAAAAACAAACTAGCATCAAGGTACCGGTATATATATTGTCAGTGACAGGGTCTTGCAGGGGTGGAAATAACCCGACGTCCGAGTCCAGTGGTTTTTTTTTGTCGGGCAAGCACATTTGTACATCACGCTGTACCAGTGTCCAGTTGACATTCCAATGTTAATTATGTTGTTTATTTAAAAAATCACCAAGAAAATCGGCCAGTATAGCGGAACAATTATCAGGACAAGTGATTTTACATGTGCCACTGTACCGGAGTACACTAGTGATTTTAAAGTTATTTCCACCCCTGTCTTGCTAAGATACTTTGCTGTGATATATCTCCCATGTTGAGCGAGGAAATTCTAATCATGATCTCCACTCCAGACAGATGCAGACTCAAAAGGCTTTAGATATGTCACATACTCAGCCTTCAACCAAGGTACCAAAATTAGTGGTACGTCCCTTTGACCTTGTGGTTACCATAGTTTACTGTATTTGTAAATCTTCGAATATTTATTTCAGTGCTGGCGCCAGAACCAAGACAAAGGAAAGAACATGGAGGTTCCAGGAAGTGAGATTCCAGTGGACGCTGGACGAGATAATTACAACTTTGGTCTGCTTCCAGAGGTAGCTTGGGTTCAAGTTATGCAGTACCTACAGCTGAAGGACAGATACAGCTTGTCATTGACTTGTCAGTCACTGTATCAACACTTCTATCACCCATCACTGTGGAGCACCGTCAATGTCAATCTGAAGGGCGGGGCCACCAACTTCTCTCTCAGTAACACTTACATCCCAAACAGCCTGGTCCAGATGATTGACAAGTTTGGCCATCTCTTTCAGAAACTCACCATCAAAATATTTGGTCATGTGAGCACTTTTGATGATGACAGTCGTCTAATTTTGACAAAACTAAGCGAAGTCTGTCGTCTGGAGAGCCTGACACTCGAAGCCGGGAAGTTGATCACCCAGTTTGATATAGGTGGATTCCCGCCATTTAAGTCTGATATTCAAATTTTCATAAATTTTATCAATAATGCTTTTAGATTGAAACAACTGAATATCAAATCATGGCCGATGTATCCAGCGTTGTTCACTCAAAATAACCTCAATATTTTCAATGCCATTGTCAAGAATGAAAAACTGAAGGACCTAGAATCTTTGAGTCTGTTTTGGAGAGACGACAGTGCATGGTCTGAGCGAGAGCCTCTTTTACCATCTCCTTTATTTCTGATGACGTTTCTACCAGATCTGAAGAAGCTGACCCATCTTGCAGTGAGATCTCCCATGTTGAGCGAGGAAATTCTAACCATGCTCTCCTCTCCAGACAGATGCAAACTCAAACTGCTACAGATATATGTTACATATTCAGCCTTCAACCATGCCTTTCAGATACCAGACATATCATCAGACATCTGGAAGACATTGGCATTGGCAAGTCCGGAACTTGAGGTTGAGTGTTCTGTAATGTCCCAGGTTCCGAACACAGAACTGTCTCTCCTCCTTTGTCCTGATATGCCACTGAAGTCTGTCTCCTTTCTTCGATACTCAAGATGTAATGGGCAGATCATTGGCTCCATCACGGACAAATTTGCGTCGTCTCTCAAACATTTCATCTGTTATGCCGACACCTCTGATGTAGACGTTGAGCTAAGATACCTGGTGACCAAGTGTTCCTGTCTGAGGACTCTGGTGTTCCATGGGAACATCAAATGTTCCACAGTTGTAACTATAGCAATGCAGAAATCAGGACAGTGGAAAAAGTTGGAGTTTGTGGAAAAGAATCTTGACACATTTGATGAGGAGGGTGATGATGAGGATAGGGATGAAGCCATCAGAAAGAATGAGGCTGGGGAGTACATACTGGTTGGTCTACATAGATTCCATCGCCATGACGACAACAGGGAGGAGACAATCGAGCAAATGAGTTCCGTGGTATCAGGAGTGATGGGGTATAAGTGGACAACTGTGTAAATCAGAGACTCTCTGAAATGCCTTTAATTACTTAGTTGACCCAAGTCTTGTTGAAATCCAAGGGAAGAAATATGACAATGACATTTGAGATATTTTGTCCTCAAAATAACAACTGAATATGTAACTGTTTTTGCTATGTTTATTGCGCCAGCTTTCAGTTAAAGCACTTTAGTATTTGTTGGCTGGTTCACCATTAAACCAACTGAAAACAAATCTAAGATTAGACAAATCATTTGGACATTGATTTCAGATCTGTCACTGCTTTACAATTAAGTTCTGTAAATTTATGTGATATACCAAGTGTTCGGAGAGTTTATACACTACCCTGTACACACTTGTGTAAAGTACTTGTATATTTGACAACTGGAAAAGCCTGACAGCACACTATATGATGCTCTCCATGTATGTATATAATTATGAGACTAAATACTGAAAATGCAACTGATCGTCTTACCAAGTTAAAACTTATATGTGTTTCATTAATTTGTAAGTTTATTTCGTAGTCAAATCATTTCACAGTTTATTCCAACCATTTACATGAACATTTTAATGATGAAAAAATGATACATCTGATAAATAATGACAGGCCTGACATTATGTTATTATTATGATACATATTTTTGAAATTACTTAATTATGATGCTTTCTTCATTGAACTTTGGGTGATGGAACAACTACCGAAAACACACATCTTGGTTCAGTTTATGCATGTGCAATATGTTACAAGTAACAGTGACTGTGTGTCTCTTATTTTCCCTTCCACACAACCCTCCAACGATATAACAGCCAGAAATCAAGCAAGTCTAGAATTTCCTCTGAGGCAGGTAGCCCCAATACAGATGTTATTAATCTCTGAATCTCTCATCCCACTTCTGCTCCATTTTCTATATTTGAATGGAGTTATTTGTGTCTGTCCAAATTACTAGTATATATATTCACAGAACAAGTGTTAGCCTATCAGCATGGCGTCAATAATGACACCGAAAATGTATCTGCTGCAGGCGTTTTGCATTTGGAAGTAGGGCCAGACCAATTTTATTTCCTTTTTTACAGATCCACCGGTCGTCCTTTTTCAAGAATAAGAAGACAAAAATAATTAATTTTTCCCGCCCAAAAAATAAAATCCTCATGTTTTTGTTGGGAAAAAATGTACACTTATCCAAAAGAAATTTTTTGATTGTTTTTTGCCCCATATACACTTCATAAATTGCTAAAAATAGAATACTTTAGTCTTCAAAAGGAAAATATCTTTGACCGGTGATTTTTATTTTTTATTTTTTCCCACCTGCCTTTAGGTTTTCTGAGGACAAGAATCCGTAAAACAAGAAATATAATTGGTCTGGCCTATTCAAATCATAATATTAAAATATATATGATATTCAGTATTATATACTAATGTGTTCAGGGCAAATCATAGGAAAGTAGTCATTGAAACTAGTCTCCAAGAAGAAGAATCAATTATATTCTTTTAGATCAAATTTGTTTTGAATTGAAGGATGTATGTTTTTCTTGTCATCAACATTTTTGTTTTTAATGTTTCATTGTATTCCAGTTATGTGGTTTAAAGAATGATCATTTATTACACAGTGTCCAATCTCAAAGTGATGACAAGTTATGTGTTACGATATATACCTACACCAGTGAACAAGAATACCATATTCACTGTAAAAAGCAAAGAAAGTGCCATACATAAAACCATACACAATGAGTTAAATTTCATTTCAGAGATCCAGTTCAAATGTCAGTCAAAAGTTTTTGAAAAAGTCTTTTGGTAATTATATGCTCCTGTGATGCTAGGTTTTGCAACAAGTATATCATTTACACAAAAATTTAACTGTGATATATATTTTTGGTTAAATTTGAGGTGCTTTTAAGGATTATTTACAGATTGTCTTGAAGTTGGTACTTATGGAAGAGAGTGCTTATTACACTGAATATGGTAATTCATGTACTGTTAATGAGGCAGTACATCAAAACAAAGAAGACACATGTTTTATATAGGGAAATATTTGATGTTGCATTTAATGTGTTTACAAGACTTAACAAGACAATGAGTAGATCAGTGAATAGCCGTATGGATTTGTTGTTAATTTGGGAAATAATCCCACATTCATAATGAACATCTTATTATAGGTGATGAAGTGCATTTATTTTACACATTTACATAAAGTTTGTGTCATATGTATTTACAATGCAACTTTTTCATTGCTTCTAAAGGGTACCCTTCAATTTTGATGGCACTTGTTGATGTTGATAATGATTTTGAATGTGTTAACTCTTGTAATATACTACTAAAAAGAGGAAGAACACTTTTTATACTTTCAGATTACTTTGATAATTTGTCACGCCATGACTCTGACACTTTATGGAGAGACATTTTATGAAATAATCAGGTGTTCTTTCACTTTCTTAGTAGTATATTTTGTTTTTGTTGTTTGCAATATTTTCAATTATCAGTTGCAAGGGATACAGATCTGAGAATAAGGTGTAGTAGCATTTGAATTTAGGAGAAACCATTTGTACACCTGAAATGGTTGGGAAATTAGAGCTACCTCCCTTGCATCTTGGCTGTTATTTTGTGAAAGCCAAAGTTACCACAATACTTGGATCTGTTTTGCATAATTCCTTTTCAACCAGTGTGTCACCTCTGACATAACTGATGAACATGATCTGTTTTTACAAGTGCAATAATATTAGTGTTAGAAAGTTCAGAAGGAGCCTTTTCTGTGTTTTCAATTATTAATTTGAGCAGAGACCCATATGGCCTCTGAGCTGTGTTTAAGGCCATGTCAACAAAAGATAGACTATAAGACAAGCTCCACAGCGCAGAGCGACACCTTCCTTACGATTAGGTTGCAGGTAACATGGTATCACTGTAAGGAGCTATGTATTGCAAAATTATTAGTCACTGTTGGGTGCAATATTAGATGTGTGAAACAGTTTGATTGGCCCACGAGCAATGTTGTTTCCATGGTTTCATTTGTGTACAGTGTAGGTGTATTGACCAGTACACCTATTATATGCAAAAGTGTACGTGCATCACATACACGCTTACACCTTTCAACAACAGACTGCACTATAAATGGATGTCAAAAATATAATCAATGAGATTATCTTGAATGTTGATCTTATTTTTGTGGCTTATGATAACCCCACGTCATGATATGGCTGTAAGTATTGTGATTGTGGTCTCATGACATCATATTGACAGACTGATTGGTTTGCTGTTTAACTTCGCACTCAGCAGTTTTCCAGTTACATGGCAGTTGTCTGTAAATAATCGAGTCTGGAACAGACAATCCAGTGATCAACATCATGAACATGGATTTACACCATGGGGGCACGATGACATGTGTCAGCCAAGTCAGCGAGCCTGACCACCCCACGAGTCTTACGACAAGCATGGGTTGATGAAGACCTAGATCTTCACAGGTCCATATTGACAGACATGCATTGAAAAGTGTAGGGATGATATTTACCCTTTACTTTTCACCTTGCCTCAGTTTTACCAAGCTGACCCCTTCAAATCTCAGGCTTTGCAAAACCAAAGAGGAATGGTAGAGTTCTTTCATGCTGACAAATAGCAGTAGACTTTGTCCAAATGAAATGAGTACATTGCCAGTTATTTCTTTAATGCTTGAATGGCTTGATGCCAATCTTTACAGAATTAAGTGCACTTAAACAGTTAAGTGCAACCCGTCTCAAGTGACAATCATGCAGTTGTCTTTTTTAGTTTTTTTAAAAATAAAATTCTGATACCATTGCTTCTTTCCATGAATGATCGTTTGATAAAATAATTTAGTCTATCAGATTGAAATGCGTTTGTATTTCTTGTTGATAGTACTGAAAAATATTTCAATGATTTTTGTGGAGGTATCAGAAATGCACATGTTTTAATAGCCTTGTTTTCATCCCATGGGCCAAAAAGCACTTTTGTTTTTCTTTTCAGTTTTTGGCTAATATATTGAAATCGTTATTGAGTCATCCATCCCCAGCAGGAGTTTTGCAACACCTGACATCTAAATGTGACAGGTACATATGGTTTACCTAGACTTTGTTCAAACTGTGAATACAGCAAGGGGCTTTCATATTTATAGGACAGAATGGTCTCCTTAATTATGCGTCAGGATGTTCTCATGTTTAAGGGCACAATAGAATTTTGTTGTTCTTTTGAATTTGAAAAAACCCTGATTCATGAAATGAAAATGTTTGCATACTGTCCATATTTAAGATCAGGGCTTAATTATGTAAGATTAATGTGGATTGATCAGGGTTATGAAACATTATTAAGACCTCCCGTTTCTTTGTATGAGTTCTACACTGCCCTCTCTTGGAAGAAATGTCTTTGATTCGGGGTCAAGGTTTAAAGTACAACAATTGTACATTGTATAGTCAGAGTTGTTGTACTGATTCATCATGTGAAATGTTCATAATGATTATTTTGTCATTACATCTATTATTTATCTGTAATGATTTTATTTATGTTTAGATTTTATTAACACCTTGCTTTTTGTTCTAAGTTCCTTTTATGGAAATGGATGATTTTAATCTCTGCCTTCTGGAGATCATGTGTGTGTTTGTTTTTGTGTACAGTAAATATACCATGGATATAACATACACAATGAATATAATTCATAAATATGCTGAGGCTATATTGCACTAATGTTGGTTGGTAGTCATGTATTGTATATGTGAGCTATGGTGCCTTTATATGTGTTGCAGTAGGGTATAGTGGATAGTAGGTGAGGTGAGGTGAAATGTGGTTTAACGTCGTGCTTGAGAATGTTTCGCTCATATGACGACGTGTATGCGTGTGTATGTGTACTGTGGCTGCTTGTACTGGCCCAGACTGAAGCTGGTTTTATAGTGCTAGCCCACTGAGATACCATGCCACAGTGAAGCATGAATACCCCACTCAGACACATTATACTGACTCCGAGCCGACCAGTCCTTGTTGTACCCATTAATGCCGAGCGCCAAGCGGGGACCAACAAGTACTATATTTTAACGTTTTTTGGTATGATGCGTTAGGGGATCGAACCTGCGACCTTCCGCTCTCCGGGCGGACGCTCTTACCACTACACACCGGAGGCGGTCTAGTGGATAGTACTACTAATAGGGGAGCAGTTGGGTACCTAGTGGGTAAAGCGTTCTCTCGTCACACCAAAGACCCACATGGGTACAAGGTGTAAAGCTCATTTCTGGTGTCCCCCACTGTGAGTTACAGGAATATTGCTACAAAGCCACATAAAATCATACTCACTCACTCACTACTAAAGGATTTTGCACAATATAACTTGTGATGTACGATGATGTAACTTAAAGTGAATCCAAGTCATGAAAAGTATATTCTGATATATTATGACTTTTACATGACAATATTGTGTGGGTGAGACCCAAGGAGACTTTTGTCAGTGAAGTTGCAGCAAAATGCCATGACGTGACAGATAATAGGTATCAATACCCTCTTGTTACTGACGCTGGCTAGGTGTATGTTTTACACTCAAGACACTGTTCATTTCTGTTTTGTTTCCTTATTATATTTGATATAAGAAGCCAGTTGGATGAGATTCTCTATAAGTGATCATTGCACATAGTGGATTCCAGTATTTATGTTGTTTGTTCAATACATGTTGAAGTAAAACATATTTATCAAAATGACTCTTTTCCTGGTGAAATCAGAACATAAACAATGCGCCAATAGTAACTTTGGTAATATATTTAATTATTTCAATTGCTTCACTAATATTTGTTTCCTTTTAAAAAACTATTGTTATTTTAATGCAATGCTAAGAACATGTATTTGTTGGATATGCTGCGTTGAAATGGCCTTTATTATTATGATCAGGCAGAGTTCAGAGATTGTCTTCCTCTCACGACTGGTTGTCATGCCTTGATATAAGGGAAATATTGTTCACACCAAATGTAACTCTCAAATGTTGACAAAACTTTGGTTTATATCCTTATATTAAATAGATGCGTTAACAGTTCTTATACTAACACATTTGTGGAGAGGCTGATGACAATGGCTCTCTATTTAATGAAGGACATGTGATATTTCTATACAAGAAACATGCTATTTTACTAGTTTTAATGTTTATAGTTTAATACAAAGTTACATTTTCTAATAAACTGTTGTTCCTCCTGGTTAATATCTGTGTTGTTGTAATAATGAGGCTTCAGAACCAAGAGCCCAGAACTCATATGCCAGACCTAAGGTAAATTGAATTATGTTTGGAGAGCAGATAGTGATTTGATACAGTACAAGATGATGCTTTTTGTTACCCTTGCATGTACCTTGGGGATGAAAATAAACTGGTCAGTACAGAGTCAGTATGGTCCCTGTCTGTGTAAGGCCATGGGAATAGTCCAGTGGTTAAAGCATTCCCTCGTCACGCCAAAGACCTGAGTTTGATTCCTGACATGGGTACAACATATGAGACCCATTTCTGGTGTACCCCCACCTTGATATTGCTGGAGTGTTGCATTCGTAACTACTCGTGTCATTCCGGCAAGCCGGATGGCGTCTTGTACCCTTCTCGTGGCCTTGTTTACGACTGGGCTCTGTCTAAGCACAAACGGGCATGGAGATGAAAATAGTCTAGTACCATTACCAAGGAAGGATAACTCTGAATTTCCAAACATAACTCCTAGAATATCTCTTTCCCGTGGGCAATACAGTCATTCCCTTTGTAAATATGTTTCAGTGTTTAAAGTTTCTGATCCTTCAGCTAAATGTTTATGTTTAAATTGTGCTTTGCATAGTTTAGCGAAGTTTTAAACTGCAACGGTGCCGCCATTTTCATGCTTCGAAATACGTTTTACTATGCGCGATTTGATTGGTTTACCACAATTCTTTGCAATAATGGCGTACGACAGGGGTACGAGTCTTCTTGTAGGTCACGAAAAGAGGCAAGTAGTTACGAATGGGAATACTGCTGAAGTACTGGTAGGCCATACTCACTTTGTGTAGCAGGAAGGGGTGGTGGGGTAGCCTAGTGGTCAAAGCAGTCGCTCGAAGACCCCACATGGATACAATGTGTGACACCCATTTCTGTGTCCCCTGCCATGATATTGCTGGAATATTGCTAAAAACACTGTTAGACCATACTCACTTTGTGTAGTCGACATAAAATGTATGAGTCGTGTAATTGGTTTTGAACTGCTAACTTTCTGATCTGACATCAGATGCCTTGTCCACATGACCAAAGTGGTCAAAGTCATCAGCAAGATGACAAGGTGAGGATCTGTGGTGTGATAACCTGCTATGTTTACATGCTATATTCAGTATGTTGAGGGAAGATAAGACAAACCAGCATGTCATGAAAAATACAATTGATTTATTAGGGTAAAACATTATGTCAAAACTCCACTGCACCCTAACAGACATCGTGTGGAACAATATTATCGTTTCACATGAAATACATACTATTTACATACAGAATAATGAGCTTATGGATAATTGTGGGTTTGAAAAGCTTCACACATCCTAGAAATCAGCTGTTTGTGATCACTATGCTTTTCCGGTTACTTTCTTGTGAGAATTCTTAATTATCAGTCCATAAAAAAGGTAAAAGCTATTGTTTAATTGAAAAAATACAACAGATATTTCATATCACAGCATAAAAAAGGGATAAAACCATGTGCACATGTATGATTATGATGATGGCTGTTGTACTGATTAAACAAACATTGAGCTGAGTCTGGGTTACCACTACTAGAAAATAGTGGAGGCCGAAGGAGGTAAACATTGATGTAAAAATTGGTCACTGTAAGCTTAAAATTTGAAACTTCTGGAATACCATACACAAACTTTGCAATTGAGATTATTTAAAGTATGCAACGTATCATGCCAATCATCACAACTAGTGGGTCCCTGTGTACAAATATGCAGAAAATAGCCATAGCTTCGAACTCTCATTGAGTTGTCTATCACAGCTAAGATGATCTTGGCACTGAACAGCAGTCAGATCTCTCCTATACGTCAGCTTTCAACAGGCTCAGATTTGACATTCTTCCTATGGAAAATATCAACAGTTGTTTCATGGCAATGTCTCAGTTCAAAGTCACAAAATCCTATGGAAAACTTGTTCTCTGTAGCCTTGTACATATCTAGTCCTCGTCCAATCTTGATCACCCAGCCATTGTTGAATCTGAAAGCAGAAGAGGTTGTTGCCAGTCAGGATGGTGTTCCACAGACCTTTGGTTTACGGCAGTTGTTACTATGGCAAAAGAACATAATAATTTAGCTGAGGGTGAGTCAAGCAACGATATAAAAGCGAGTCCGGTAATTCCGCGCAGCTGCAATAGCGTACTTCCGTATCGAGGTAAACATCGTCTGCTACCACATTTACGCTTGAAATCGGGACATTTCTACAAGGGACTGGCTTTTAATCACTAAAGGTAAGTAAATAACAGTAACTGACAGATAAATTGACAGTTTTATGAAAATTCAGTTTCATCGGACTTTTAAACCTTTTTACTTCATTATTCATAATTGGATTTAATATGAAACACTCCTCCTTACATTGATGAAGTGATTTTTGAAAATAATCTGGCCCTAATACGCTTCCATACTTCGGATCTCCATCTGGATGTTATGCGCATAAGTTGCTGCGCAGAATTACCGGACAGCAAGCGATGTCGTCAGAACGCAGGTAAGGTCAATCGTATGGCATAATGCAACGTTAAAATCTTATAGTCGTCAATAAAACTTATATTTCTTGGTAAATATGATGCATACCAGCATATTTAGTCACGTAAACCACAAAAACTAAGAGAGGCGTTAGTTGCCGTGTTGCAATCAATGTGCGGTTGCAATTAAATGTGCAAATTATCCTCCAAGCGGAATTACCCGGTCGGCATTGTATACATTTTTATGAAAATTCCAAATTATCCACCAATCAACATGGTACAGCTTAGGTGCGCGGAATTACCGGTCGGCATTGTATACATTTTTATGAAAATTCCAAATTATCCTCCAATCAACATGGTACAGGCAAAAACTATAAGTCAAGGTCAAGGTTATACATGACACATAATCCAGATTATCCAAAGTAAAAGTTTGAACTATCAGTCGAGCTCAAATCTACGAGGCCATACCTGATCTCCCTGTCATGTAGTGTTGAGGAGAAATCTACCTCCAGATGTATGCCATGTTGGTGTAGACTCTGCCCCACCTGGTGAAGTCGCTGCTGCTGACCCTGTCCCTCCTGCAACAGGAAACCAACTCTTCAGATTATATTGAAATAATATTGCTAGCTGTCAAATAAAAAAACCTAAAAAAAACCAATCTTCCAAACAATATTTTCTTTCACTGCAAAACTGTATGTCACTGTCTCTCAAAGATACGCACAGCAAAGGTTGACATATAAGCCTGATGAGAAATGAGAAAAACTTGACCTACACTAAGATGGTACTGAAAACAATATTTCAGTTATCTCACTGTGGCAGTGGAATGAAATGTAACACAATGGCCCTTGTGGATTCCATGGCACACCTTCCAGGGTAGTACCTAGTGACTGCCACTGTAAGCATCTATTGTCGATTGGATGGGTATTATATGACCTGGATGGCTAATGGGTGGTCGCATTTGGTTTGTCAACTACTAGTTTACCTTGCCAAGATTGTTTAACTGTCCACTGTGATATAGATGGAATATTGTTAAACATGGCAATACAGGTCACTCACTCATTTCACTCAAAGGATCATTTTCTGGGCAAATCTGGGATTCAAGCCCATGTTTAGATTATTGTGGCAGCATATGCAAAAAATTGTGGCTCTTTAGATCACTGGTCCATCCACTTCACAAAGTTGACCACATGGCTCAGAATACTGCACAAGCAAATGGTAGCTGTTCAGACCATGTGACTATCTGTGAGTGTATTGTTAAGAACACTGCACAAATATCATGCTGAAGTAGGTTCTTCTAGTGAGTGTATGATTAAGCTGGGTTAATTCCAGTGTGTGAAATTGTTTCCAAGTTTTGCTAGCCAGTCAGGCAACCTGTGCCTGAAAGTTACTTGCCCACAAAATAATTCACCAGCCCCAAATTTGAATGTAGAAACTAACCAAAATAGATCCGAATAAGATATTGTTGGTATGACACGGGTTTTGATCATTAAGCTGCTAATATGATGAACATTTTCATCAGGTCATAATTTTGCATGATTTAAAAGTGTATTATAATAAATTAACAAGTTCGAAAGAGTGATATATTTACAAAATGACCCATTAAAAATTCACTAGCCAGTCGAGCCAGTGACTGTGGAGAATTACTTGCCTGATTGGATACTAGTCACGGGCTTGCGGGCCAGTGGCTAATTCATACTGTTTAAGTCTGCCATGAACTGTATTCAAGTTACACCGCAGTGTGTCAACCTGACAAGAAAGGCTGAGTAATGCAGTTCTCAGATGTTTACAACTTTGGTGAAACCCACAAGCATGGTGCTGACAAACCTAGAAACATTCGACCGAATTGAGATTTGAACCCAATATCATTGGTTTGTGACAACTGCACATTAGACGATAGTGCCACCATTGCGTCCAGGTCCATGTGTAACTTATCACAATACTGCCAGCTTGACGTTAAATTTCAACTGAATTAGTGATTGGGGTTTTGCTGGCACTCAGCTTTACTCACATTATCTGCTCCCGTGATTAGCTTCATCTTCTTCACATTGGGGCCACGTTTCACAACCAGCTCGCAGAACCGCAGGAAGTTGTAAACCTGCACAGACAAAACACAGTTAGTCCAACACAGACAATCCGACTAGTGTATGGTAGTTGTCCAAGAAATGCCACTGAAAGACATCATAGTGTATAGTTGTTATCAAAATACACATGATACTACTACTACTAGTATTACTACTACAGACTGAGACATTTTAAGATAATTTTGTTTTGACACATTAGAGGTGAAAGGTATCTTCATTTTTCACTATTTAATTGTAATTCAACAACATCCCCATGGACTACTCATACAATGCTTTTGGTAGAGATTTCTTATGATAATGGATTGTGAGTTGTGTGAATTGATGTTCATGGCGCCAATCATTGAATTGCCAGGTTTAATTATACTGTCCATGTTACAGACTGCCATGATAAAGCTTGAATACAGCAGAGAGCAGTGTTTGACAACAAACAAATACTCATAATCACTATCATCATAAGGGATCATTAGTGATGAAACAAACAGAAGATTGATGATCATAATCTACCTTTGTCAATCAAGTCATCTTCCTCACAGTGAGTAGCACATGAATATGATTAAGCGATTCCACAGCAATCATGACTGACTGATGGCTGCCTTAATGTCTTTCATGAAAGGTTGAGATGCTGCTTTTACCTGGTGAGGGACGGATGTAGGGATCTTCCACTTCTATTTCTGATACAGACTTGTCAATGAAGCGAGAGAATAACTTCTCATACGTATGACCTGTAGAATTGGCCTCAATGCGGATTTGTTCATGGTATTTTCCAGCTGGAATTTACAAACAGAATGTGTCAAAGAATACATGCTTTTGATAATCCATAACAATGACATAAACTACTAAAAAAAGTTAAAGAACACCAAAAGAAGTTAAAGAATGCCTAGAAAATTTAAAGAACACCATCAAGTTGGAGGCTATGGGTTGCAATACCGACCAGCCATGAATGATTATTCATAGTCCTCTGAAAAAGTTGGATCTTTCTTGAATTGCTTTTAAGTAGTAGTTACAAAACTAGTTACAATGTTCACAAAACATAATCACTATAATCAGTATGATCAGGTTCAAGTTGCACAATAAAAGATATAGTGACCTACAAGGCTCGAGATAATGTTTTATTTTAGAACAATAGAGTATTGTATTCACATTCCATCATTAACATTGACACCTTCTTTGGGTATTCAATATATTTCTTATACTCCCTTAAGCATGTTTGCTCCAGTATAATTGGTATTTTACACCAAAGATGAGCCATGGAGCCATTCCAGTACTAATGTCTGAATACGAAAGACATTGTGTCATTTAATAATTTCGTATCTGGATTAATAATCATAATAATGTTGATCCAAATAAGGATGAAGACAAAGGCAGCTACTGCCAAGTAGCATTACCAGCACCCATTCAACATACCAACTTTGGAACCAAATAACCAGATCCAAGATGTATGGGTGCAACAAAAGAGTATGTGAAACAGTATCATCACACATGATGCTAATCAGTAGGCATGGTAACACTAGAAGGCAAAACATGAAAATGCTGATGTGAACGGTGGAGTCAATTAGTGTGGTCAGTGTTCACAATTTTGATATTGACCTAAATAATCTGTATACATTGTAAACAATGGTTAAGCATAAAACTAATCTGATAATTGATGTGGCCCATAAATGTAAATCATAAAAATAAAAAAAGGTAACTGTGTTCACATGCTCTTTTGTCTGGAAGCACTATAGCAAACCAGAAAAATAATATTTGTAAAATATATAAAACATCTAGCATGTCTTGCACCATTCTAGATTATATCAACCATATTCACCTCTCATAATAATACAATTTCCTATATATGGGGAATCTTATTCTGGATCTAATAATTTTCTAATTTATCTTACCCGCTCCTATTGTTACATTGTTTTTTCCAAGTATTTTGCTTGATACCTGTTGCAGTACCAAATATTGGTACTTGGGCGATTCTAGTTCATAACCTGAGGTGTTTTCAGCTTGACAAGACCAACAGAAATCTACATTGGTTGTGTGACTAGCATGATTAGAACAAAATGACGACAATACAGAACTTCCAGTTTTCATAAATGTTTCTTTCTGTAAAAGCTTGGTAACTGGAATGTGATTGTGGGATTTTTGTCAACTATGATTCTGACAAAATTGCTGAGCATGGACTATCAGAATTATAACTACTAGTATGTCAGAATGATATAATCCTGCAGACAACAGAAAAGCCATATTGTACACACACTTGTCCCTAGTAATAAGTTTGTAACCATGAAAACAGTTGTGACAACTCCAGTGACCCACAGATGGTCCCACAAAGCCTTACCGTCATCCAGTTGTTCAACAAATGAGCAAGCTGAGAGAAAACATCATTGGGATACAAAAAATACATTTACAGACGATGTATAAACAGAATACTAACATAAGACAAATTCATGTCTATATAGTCTGTTAAAACAATCAGACATTTTTCAGTACTGTACAAAACTGTTAATTATGGCATCTGATCATCTTCATCCTGGAAAACTGAAAAGTGATTTATGCAAAGAATTTTTATTACCTATTTTGATAGTCTTGATAATCTTTGTATTTGTAGTTTTAGAACTAGTAGTAATAGAATGAAGCCTTTGAAACTCAAACTTGTCTACTCGTATGAATCTAATAAATTGAGCAGGATGCAAATAAGAATTCAATGAAGGGAGTCCTCATTAACAAGAAGCTTTTGAGCATGTAGAGGGCAATGACCACAATAGTACTAAACCAATTCACCATACTTCAATTTGGTTACAAATTGGAATTGAATAAAACTGACAGAAAGTATGAATATAGTGTTTCTTTTGTTTGTCGTTTAATGCCACACTCAGAAATATTCCAGCTATACAACAATTTACAAATAATCAAGACTGGACCAGACAATCCAGTGATTGACATCATGAGCATCGATCTATACAATTTGGATACACTGACATGTAGTCGCAATCCTGACCACCTGATCCCATTAGTCACCTCTTACGACAAGCATGGGTTGTCAACGAAGATTCCTAACCCAGATCTTCACTGGAGTCTGAACCATGGTAAACATGATGAACATTTCTGCTTTGTTCAAGCAGGACTAGATCAAACTTTGTGGACTACTGAAATAAAGTGAACACTTAGTTCTCTGGACTAGTCTTGAAATTAATGAAATTGTAAGTCTGAAATGAGGAAGTTTTTCAAAATATTAAATATGATCTCATCAACAGTTATCAAGCAAAATAAATTTCTTTGTGGGAGTTATGACATTGAGGAAAAGAGCAAAGTAGTATACAGCATATACTGATCATTTTGGAATAAAAAGGCATGAACAACTGCCATCGTACAAAAGTAATGTCTGATTAAGAACACATGAACAGTGCTGAACATTATTTTACAAATTGCCTGTTGACTACATACTGGAACTGAAACTTACATGATTATGAAAAGAATTATTATCGACAACCGTCAAGTTTAGGCTGAAGAAAAACTGCTGAAAGACTACTTGCTGTGTGAGCAAAGTGACGGTTGTACCTTCTTTTTTCTTCTTTGACATGCTGTTTCAGTTCTTCTGCCCGAGCCATGTACTCTGATATCTTCTCGCGGTACTTTTTCTTCTTTGCGTCATCCTGTGTACCTGTAAACAGAACAAGGTACCAATGTACCACATCAGATTTTTCACAAAAGGAGCATAGGCTTTAAGAGCATGTGGTGAAGAAAGTGGTCAGAAACTAAACCAATCTGGAATTATTTACTGATTTGTGAGAGAAGTTTTGGGACTCATTAATTTAGGATGAATGTAATTGCGTGACATGAGTCCGTAGATTTCCAACACTATCAACAAGATTAGCCTCAGTCAAAACATTATTTAAATAATTTTGGGCCATTTGTTTACTACCTTTGCAGTCACAACTGACAACAATATTAGCATAATTAGCCAACATGGTTTCATTGGGACAAGAATCAGTGTACTGCGTTGTTTGTTGTTTAACGCAGCACTCAGCAATGTAAATAATCGGGTCTGGACCAGACAATCCTGTGATCAGTAGCATGAGCATATATCTACGCAACTGGGATACAACGACATTTGTCAACCAAGTCAGCGAGGCTGACCACCCGATCCCGTTAGTCGCCTCTTACAAGCATTGAAGACCAATTCTAACCTGGAACTTCACGGGTCAACGTGAGAATGAATTGGCAAGAGATTATATTACCTTTGAGAACTTCTAATAACAGCTGCAATCCTTCCTGGTAGCAGGTGACTGCCTCGTCAAACCTACGCGACGAATCAAGCTCCACAGCTCTTTTCAAAAAAGACTTATCGCAGAGGTCTCTACTCCTGCCAACTTGGCCGCATCACCCATTCTTTGAACTCATTAAAGACACGCACTGTTAAAACAGTTGAATCTTGGTAGAAGGAATAGGACCGAAGCGAGTTCTAGCTTTTGTCTGAATGACAGCTATTTTCTAAAGACTGTCAAGATGAAGCTACCATTGCTTGCAAAACTACACAACACACGAGCGTCTGTTCTTTCCACCGGAAGTCACTGGCTTCCGCAAGTACCGAGGTAAAGTTAATTGATGAATATTAGAAGAGAGTCTAAAACATATACGCATTATAAAAGAAAATGTAACCCGGTTTGTGAATCTTGAATGGACATGTTTGTGATTAATTAAGCTGTATTAAGTTAGTGATAAGAAATATTCACACCGGAGCAAGGCGCTGTCACTGGCAACGCCGGAAGTTTATGGAGAAGTGCGTATGTCAGAGAGAAGGCAGTCATAACATCTCATTGTTGGAGGCTTTAACAATGTCCGGGTTGTCAAGAGAAGTGTTGAGGTGGATCCAAAGTCTAGACTTGACATGGCAATTGAAAACACCGAAGTGGTATGTCAATCGACTAACAATTACACTTTCTGTGTTTAGATCCAAGTCTGCAAAAAATTCAAAGATGCAATGAATTACCCTTTATCATAATTTAAGTAAAAATTCAAGTGAGTTAAGATGCAGTTTCGGGCTAATCATAATTTATCTAAAAGAGGAGTATTTTGTTCACACACAAATTTTGTATAATTGTAAATATTTGAGTGAACACACAAATCCTGAACTTCATTTGTGATACACTTTGCATGCACAAATATCAGACAAGTCTTTTTTGGAAAACTCTATAGATATCAGCACTTATATTTGTTGTGATAATAAAAAGGGAGAAACTAAAAGGCCCATTATGACTTATGAAACGTAACAGTCAGCATCGTAACATTTGTTAACAAAGGTGTCTGTCCACCATCAGCTGTAATGAACCCTAAGCACACTGACTAGTTCTTCTACTTCTAATGTAGCATTACATGGGGCATGGTGGGTGAGCTGGCTAAGGTGCCAGGCTAGTGATCCAGCGGGCATGAGGTGCCGAGATCGATCGAGCCCACCTGTGACCTGGTGTAAAAACCTTGGAGGCTTGTAAAAACCTTGGAGTCAACTTTGTGACTGGGTGTAAAAACCTTGGAGTCAACTTTGTGTGCAGACCCTTTCAGTGTTGTCTCACCCCCTAGTGTACAGTACACAACCCTGTGCAAGAACCCACGAATCCGTTGGTATATGACCAGATGCAAACACCTAGTTGCAGGTACAGCAATGTGCAGTAATCTTGGACAGAATACTGTGACTATGTGTCCCAGTCCACCCAGCTGTGAATGGGTACCTCGAAGGATGGGAAAGCCACAACAACTAGGTGCACTTTGTGGCAGCAAGAGTTGTGTGATCCCCAGGGAGTTGAGACTGACATTGACATCCAATGATCGAGGGAAAAAATTCCAACGCCTTGAGCACCTGTGCATGGATATGTGCGCTATATAAATATCCAATAATAATAAAAAATAAATAATAATAACAAGTCAGATACATATATATGATTTGTTTCAGGGATTTGACGAATGGTTACCTCGTAGCTGAGATATTTTCATGGTACTTTCCGCAAGAAATACAGATGCATTCATATTACAATGGAACATCACTAGATCCAAAACAGAAGAACTGGTCTTTGTTGAAAAATGTAAGTTTTCTTCTGTCATTTTCTGGCACAATGTCTTACTGTTGTGGTGGTTACACAATGAGGTCCTGTCATGTTGGTACAATGCACAGTTGTACGTGTTGGCATTGTGATCCCCTAGTGTTTCTAGGGCTTCACACTGAGTCACATGTAGCACATAATGCGGCCACCTTGGGCCACTGACGAACAGTGTATGGGTATGCAATACGGGATGGTAATGCTACTGTTAACTTTGTAGTGTCACACAGGCAGCTTGGTTTATGTATTCCCCAGGGAGCTGAGAATGAAATTTTGATCCTTTAAATGGGATGATAATAGTGTTGCACTATGGGCATGCCTGTATTGTTTGGAAATATAGTGCAAATTATAGTCCTTATTGCTGTATTTTCTTATGACCATTTTGACTTGTCAGATGCAGTGATTCAGAGCTTCCCAGTTTAGCATTCACATTGTTATGTGTATTCAGTTGTGATACTTGAACACGTCCTAGGAGGAAAAATCAAACTGTTCTGTAAATGTTTTCAGTTCATCAAACGCCAGCACATTGATATTCCGGAAGATTACGTAGAAGGCACAATTCACTGCAAGGAGGGAGCTGCCAATCTTCTCACAGAGAGGATGTATGAGATCCTCACAAACAGGAAGTAAGTGGCAACCTGGCTTCTGTGATAGTACACACTTCCTTGTAGATACCATGGTTACTATCAGCGGCACCATTGCTCTTGTCGTCAAATGCAGTATCATGCAAGGAGCCACAGATTATGGAATAGTTCAGTTCCAATGATCCCAGTTATGATGCTTGAGGTTGCAGAACAGTGATGAACATCCATAACCTGTCACTTGCGGTGTTCTTTGTACCATGATGTACGAAATACTGTTCAAAATAGTAGAGGGGAAAGAAGAGGCCTTGTTACACTGGACATCACAAATTGCTGGGCAGAGTTGTGCATGCCAGATAACTAAACTTTTGGTTTTGAATCACAGTTCTCCCTGATTATGTTTCTAGGTTTGTCAGTACCATATAGGTGCTTGTTGTTTTCACTAAAATAGTAATATCTACAGTCCGTTTGAGTCAGAAACGGACCGATGTAATTTTATCATTGTACAAAATTGCCACATAAATATAAACATCATATACTAATACCCAACAGCTTTCTTATATTTGAAAATTTTCCGGACTCCACCCAAAAAAGCATAAAAGTTGTTATCTGTCGCTGCGGGGTGAAACCGCGAGAAGAAGGTGAATAACAGCCACTAACTCGGCCGTGGAACGGGATACACATGCCTGGTGAAAAATGAAGTTGAATGCTGAAGTGAAACAGTTGATGATATTTTTCTGTGCTGAAAAGCAAACCATTTTATGCCATTTTAAATTCCGTGGCAGCAAAAGCTTTAGGAGTATCAGCAAGGGGACAAATGTTCTGGAACACAAACATTGTGAGGGTGATGCAAAGCAGGTGGGGGTCGATGTCAAAATCACACAAATTAAAACATTTGGACAACTTTCAAAAGAACCTTGTAAGGCAGTCTATCAAGCTCTATTCTGAAAACAAATACATGTCGCTGAAAATTTAAAAAGCATTTGAAGCAAGAACACAACCTCAGAGTATCAAAGTACACAATGATTATAAACTTGAACGCCCTTAACAAGATCACGACTGAAACTTGGCAAAACTGTGTCAACAAGGTACATTGAACAAGGTTACTGGTATTGGCTTACAACAGGCAACATTTGACTATGACAATTTTGTAGATTTTGAATGATATGACTGGCTGTTTTGTTTTCGCGGTTTGCGCACAGATAACAACTTTTATGCTTTCAATGATGATAGTTTCTTAAAGAACTTTTTTGGTGGAGTCCGGAAAATGTTCTAATATAAGAAAGCTGTTGGGTATTAGTAAATGATAAACATGTGTACTATTTATATTCATGTGGCAATTTTGTACAATGATAAAATGTGCAATTATTGGTCCGTTTCTGACTCAAACGGACTGTAAGATCTGCATCACTTTCGGCTTTCAAACCATTGACTGGATTCAGTGGTGACATCTCTATCTCCTGCACTCACTACTGTTCCTGTGGAGATCTGGGTTAGAATTGATTTTCAGCAACCTATGCTTCTCGTAAGAGACAATAAACGGGACCAGGCACCGATTTCTCGAAACAAACTTAAGTCTGAGTTTTGCCTTAAGTTAGAGTTTTTTATCAAATTTGAGAAAATTTATTTCCCAGAATGAACTGAAATTGATAGTAAACTCAAACACAGTAGACAGTTTGAGTTTGGTGGATAGATAACTTAAGTTGTTTGGGCTCTTTTATTTAAAAAATGCAGTTGAGTTTAAAATTCAGCTGTTTCAAATTGTCAAACTCAGTTTGAAATTTGAGTAAAAACTTAAGTTTGTTTCCTGACATCGGGGCCAGATGGTCAGGCTTGCTGACTGGGTAGATTGATGCTCATGCTGTTGATCACAGGATTGTCTGGTCCAGACTCGATTATTTACAGACCACAGCCATAATAGGTGGAATATTGCTGAGTGCGGCGTTAAATGACAAACCAACCAACCAACCAATCTCACTCAGTGCATGCTGGACCTCAAGTATATTGGTGTTTCTTGGGTCAATTCAACAATTGCACATTTCAGTCCTACCTGATCACAGGACCAGTCATTGTTTGTTTGACTCAATCTTGATGCTAAAATGAAACTTTGTCATATTTTTTCAGAGTGAAAAAAGTCCCTTCAGAAGTGGAGGTGGACTTCACTGACAAGGCCTACCAGAGCAAGCTGCCTATGCATGCCAGATCCACAGCCTCTAAGTCCATCAAAAATAATCTACGTGTCACAGAAATCATGGCCGATCAGGACCTCATACTCAGTGCACAAAAGGTTTGTCCCTCTTTGTATTCTCAAGTGTGTGAACAGTGAGTGAATCATTCTTTTGCTAAGCACATTCATCAAACTGGCTTCAGACTAGTGTTGGGAATTGGCAAAAAATCTCATATTTGATGGTTAGTTCATTACAACCGATCAATCATCGAAAATAATTGGTTAGCGTCATTTATAACATTTTCCTGGTTATGTATGTTAATGCACAAAAAAAGAAAGAAAGAAAAAACACGTAGTTCTGGCAAAACTATATTCACTCACTCACTGATCAGTTTCTTTGTTGTCTCAGTCAAAGTGCATCCCTGAATTCTTCTACTACAAACAAAACTGAAGATTGAGTTTGGATGATGAATAGAATCTCCGCTCCATGTCTTTTGATGTGAAACCTCAGACTTATATAACAAGACACATCGGTTGAGATTCTATATGTTTGCATTCAGATCGGACTATTGGCTGGTTATGTTATGGCCTTTTCAGTTTATATTCACGTTTTCCTGATAATATTGGTCATTTCTACACTGAGAGGAGGGAGGGAAAGAAGAACATGTTACAGGTAGTTGCAGGTGTAAAAATTAACACTCACACATGTCACCTGTATTGCCAAAGCTTAAGAAAAAGATGGTAAGGTAACCAAGTGATTCTAAATTTCTCATATCATGATAATACCTGACATCAAGCCATGGGTTATGTTGGTTCAGAAAACTAACCCAGGAGACATACTCTTACTTATTTTATTTCAACGATGGAATTTAAAATATGTTTAATATGGTATTTGATTTATTTCCAGGCACAGAAAATAATTAATGATCACATCGATCACCGAAGGGTGGAAAGATACGAAGATCCACATAGGTTTAATGTCAAACTAACTATTGGTGAAAAAAGTCTACGCAGACCACCACCTCCACTGAAGGAGAAGTCTGATGCAAGCCAAGCTTTGGAAGACACTGAATGTATGCCAGCACGGGAACATAGTAAGTTGAACCAATCAGATCTTATATTACCTGCTCAGCAAAAGTGATGACTTCTTGTTGTGTTGTCTGGGGTTTTTCTTTCTTCAAAAGGAGATTTCTTACTTGATCAATGGCGTAACTTCTACAAGGGGTCGCTTAGCAGGTGGTGTACTCGTGACCAACATCTTGTGATGAAAACTCATGTCGGTTGTAAACATTTTATACAGCTCGCTCTACTGTTATTTCTTGATTAAATCGTCTCAATCGTGTTCCTAATTAACAAGTGTGATGTTCACTGACGCCGGTGTCAAGCAGCCAGTAAGGCACACGCTAATTACCACTCACGTGTGATTGTTTGTATACGGTCGGATCATCCGACCTCCTGTGTTGATTGTCGGATTAATGAATGTTTTTACAATGTATTTACAATAATCAGCTGCTAGATTGATGTGTCGGAGTCGGAATGCGAGAATGTCGGATTAACGAGTGTAATTATCACTGTTTTAGTCGGATTAACGTGATTGTCGGATTAATGAGTGTCGGATTAACGAGAGCTGACTGTATATGTATACAATGCCGATGTGACATTAAATTTTAATTAGCTCACTTTTAAATCAATAAAATTCTCACCCCAAACTGGCTTTTGCAGGAGATGTCTCTTTTGCCTATAAAATATTGCTTTAAAGAAGGTTCTGTCCTTGGCTCATATGTTTCATATGAAAACAGACTTAAAGCAAAAAAGGGCAGTAAAAGCGTTTGCTTGTCATGCCAAAGACTAATAAGGGTTTGATTTGTGACATGGGTTAAAGGTGTGAAGCCCATTTCTGGTGTCCTTCTGGTTGAAGTGGTGTAAAAACACAGTGACTCTCTCTAAAGCAATATATTATCATGTTACAATATATAAATGTTGTTACAGCTGCTAATTTTGATGATGTTTCAGCTGATACTTCAAATGGCCAGTCAATGGCACGAGAGCCAAGTGTCCACTTCAAGGAAGTCCAAGTGAATCAAGTGGACAAATCAGCATTCTACAATATGCCCATCCAGGGCTACTAGTCCTTGTCTCATGATGGAGAGAGGCTGTCAGCTTTTGTCTAAAACAGGATGTCAAACTTTGGGATATTATCATTCAACCAGCAGAATTAGTTGTTTGAGATAAATCAACTCTTGCCATTTTGGAACTTTAATACTGACAAACAGCTGCAAGAAAAAGTTGTATTAATTCTCTGTCCTAAAATCATTGTCACATTTTTGGTAAGTTTCTGTGAATTTATATAGTTTATTTTATTTCATTTCGTCAAAAAAATTCTTTGTTTGTTGCAAGTGCTGAAAACACTTTGAATCTATTTGTAAAAAGGTACAAGTGGCTGTAGTACTTATGGTGTAGCCCATATACTGTATAAAATTGTAGATGACAGGCATTGTAAATAAATCATTGACGTTGCACATTGTACATTGAATGATTCTGAATAAAGGTGTATGAATACAACCCAATGGCAAGCCTTCTATTATAATAAAAAGAGCTCAAGTATAGCGACAAGAGTCCTATTTGTAATTATTTGTTGGAGTAAGGAAACACATTATTATTTGTTTAACACTGCACACAGCAATATTCACATGGTGATGAATATATTGACCTGTTAACCTAGTCAGCAAGCCTGACCACCCGATCCTGTTAGTCGCCTATTACACTGACTGACTGACTTTGGTTTTACGCCGCTTTTAGACATATTCCAGCAACATCACGGTTGGGGACACCAGAAATGGGCTTCACACATTGTACCCATGTAGGGATTCGAACCCGGGTCTTCGGCGTGACAAGCCATCGCTTTAACCATTAGGCTACCGCCCCGCCCCTCACCTATTACAACTAACATGGGTTGCTGAAGACCAGTTCTAACCCAGATCTTCATGGGTTAAAAAACAATTTGATTCACAGTGTAGTTTTAAAGATATCAAAAAGGAAATGAAAATGAAATGAATGAAACCATGATATATGAAAACAGTAACATAAAATCTGAAGCACCTTAAAAAATATACCAGCAGATGTAAAATCATTCAGACAATAATTTTCTGTTATGAGGCTGAACATATCTTCAGACAGTTCGGCTACTATACACATTACAGGCAGTCAAAGGTGATGCAGAGTGCTGTTCACAAATATTTACCAAGAGCAGCCAAAGAAATGGTGTGGTCATGAATGAAGACAAAACAATTAGTGATGTGGAATTTTATTACATCAATCTATACAAATACTTAACAGCATTTTCAGAGGTTTTGCAGTTTGGAATGTGATGAAGTGTTCTATTTACATATAACTGTTACTAATAATATACTTCTTTAGAAATAATATAAGGACGGAATTGGATCAGAACTAAAAATATCTAAACACCAATAAATCATATTTTCCTTGTAGCCCAGATGACACATACTGCAATTGATTTCTACGTAAAGCATTTTAACATGTCAATAAATACTGTTGAGAGCTATGTTTCCTTACCTGATTGAAACAGAATCACCACAACTGATTCTGAGAATATAACATCAAGACTGTGTCTTGATCCCAGCTTTCCTGTCTGTTTGGCAGTCCATTTTTGAATCACTAATTAATTCATATGCTGTTTTGTGCAATTTTTCAGTCCTGTCATATAAAACCTTTGATTTCTATCTACAAGCTGTGCCCCTTTTTTGAGGATGATCAACAACAAATATGCATAATGTATTTTAGCAACAAAATATCATTTAAAATATCTCAGCCGCAATGTCTCTGAATTATTCCTACCAAGTGGTCAAATATTAATTAAAAATGTTTGCATCTGTTTACATAAATCATTTCTTTTGCTATACCGTGTATCGGGTGAATCAATTACCAGAAGCCAAAAATGTAAACAAGTCTGTTTTCATGTTCATTAATCAGTTACATGGACCACACACTGTAACACCATCTTGGGGCGGTGGGGTAGCCTAGTGGTTAAATCCGCCAAGACCCGGGTTCGATTCCCCACATGGGCACAATGTGTTAAGCCCATTTCTGGTGTCCCCACCGTGTTATTGCTGGAATATTGCTAAAAGCGCGTAAAACTAAACTCAGTCAGTCAGTCAGTAAACCATCTTGTGACATTTCATGGAAGGCCAGATTTCACTGAATAATACACATGTAATTTTGCCAAGAAGAACACGAAATACATTTAGGAATGAAAATGTCAGTTAACATGAAACAATCTATCAAAACATCCTTTTGAGTTATGTGAGCTATTCTTAGGAGATAGTGAAGTTATGAATATTCCTCTCACTGATGAAGTGATAGGGTTGTGTTTAACATGCACAGGCAATATTTTCATGATGCAACCTGATTAATTCACTTGGTTGCAGCTGGTGTAGGTAGTGAACAAAAATGAAATCGTACATTGACTGGAGTCAGAAGTCATGTGACTGTGTTGTGTATCATCAGGGCATACATAAACCATCACAGGTTTAGATTCTGAACTAAAAAATGTAAGACCACAACAAATTTTAGCAGTCACAGCTCAAAATTAATTATCAGCTCTGAGAAGATTTAGTAATGAACTGCTTTACATATTTCTGAAGACAACAGAATGGTCATAAATATCAAAACATGTCCCATCATGTGACCTCAATTTGCAAGTCACCTTGACATTATATGGACTTCATTCAAAGAATAAACAATTTGAAACAATGAACACGTTTTGCTAGATACAGATGTATTACTATAACATTCCTTACCACAAATTCTGATGGTAATCCTGCATTCTTAGGGAAAGTTACACCAAATTGGACAAGCACTAGGTCAGAGAGGAACAGCCAGGTGTGCGAGACAGGATGGATACACCACAGGTAAATGATTCAATAACTTTGTCGGCACTTGTACACCTGCTCCGCATACACCTGGCTGTTCCTCTCTTTGCAGTCCTCCCTCATAACAAATAGTGAACTGTGTCAAAATTTTAATGATAGAAAAAAAAAAATTGGTTAACAAACTATCACAAAAATTCTGCAAAAAAAAATCAGAGTTGGTCTGATGTTTTGATTATGATCAGTGTTCCATTGAGTATTATATGTTTAGTAGTTTTCGAGTTAGATTGCAATTCATCGGTCCGCTTTTTAGCCAAACGGACTTATAATAGTAGGTAATCTATATTTACGCTTTGATTTTCTGTTTCATCTCTTCTCTTATAATATATCAGACAATAAAACTACAGTGGAAACCGCCTAAGTAAAGACTGCTTAACTAAACAGACCAGATAAGTAAACACTATTCTTTGGTCCAGCAAATTTCTTCATTAATTATCACTATTAGAGTCCGGTTAACTAAACTCGGATAAGTAAACAATACCGCCTAACTAAACGTCTTCTCACGGTCCCTGGAAGTAAATTACTTAACAAAAGAGACCGGATAACTAAATTAGCGATCACCACATAATCTGACATGAGGGGCACGTGTCAGTCTCCAGCTAAACAAACATCCTACTTACAGCTTGCTGGCGTCAAGCAGTTGACAATACACTGACAACTGGAGGCCAGCCCTGATAAGTTGTTCATTGTTTTATGTAGCTTGGTCATTACTTACAAATGTTGTCAGTTATTCTGCTGTATACATATACATGCATATGGTTGTCATTTCCGGGTTTTGATAAGTTTGATAAGTAAAATACCTCATAAGTAAACAATTTTGGCAAGTCCCTTGAAATTTTACTTATAAGGTTTCCACTGTATGTGTTAAACAGTTGGTGTTAGTTAACTCAACAAAAGAAGTCTGGTTAAGATAAGGTGAGACAGGCATAAAGTGTGGTAGTGGCAATACTAATCTTCAAATGTATTTCTCTGGGTGAACATAATTGATGCACTTATCAGTAATTCCTTCATTGTCATAACATAGTCCTACCTGTAATGTTAAAATATTACATCAAAGAAAAACGCACCTTGTTGCATAAAATTACAAATCATATTTGTACTATTGATGAATAGCATTACTGAATGTACGAAAAGGTAATTCCACCTGGATGACTTGATGCACCATAAATATCACACAATACAGACATGTATTCATTCAAAATCCCATATGTCGACAATTTGCAGGTGTTTTTACTTTTCAAACAAAATTAAACAAATGAAACAAAAATATACTGATTTCAATTTATATGAATCCATTATAAGCAGGCAGGTGCTTACAAAATTCACAAAGTGGACCACTTATAATAAAAGGGTAAATTAATTTTAAGAGATACTGCAGTAGTGAAAAAACCTGGTTCACACATCAATGAGACTAGGTCAATCTAACCCCATTCTATTTTCCATAAAACACTCTGTGACATATATGGGGAAATTATTGAAGCAATCCTGTTAAATTAGTTTCCTCTCTTGAAAAGCAGATCAAATGTACAACATCAGATTTTAGTGATCTTATTGGAGTTTTATTAATAAGGGTTAACAATTTGTGATTAATGCTCTATACTCATGTACTAGTTGAAACAAAAGGAACCAATATGAAATCCTACAATTTGCAGCTATAAGCAATGTCTACATATGCATGTCTAAAGTTAATCAGAAGATCTCCGTGTAAGAAGGCTTAAGTGTTACATCTTACATAACTGTTACACTCTTGGAAGGGAATTGTGATAAAGCTATGGTGTGTTCTCTTGTCTGCAAGGGTGAGATTCTGTGTGCACACACACAAGAAACACATATTATGTGGTTATATTTTGCATTACATTAACCAGTCCCCCCAAATTTTGTGAGAGGACAAATATTTTCGAAATATTAACAAATATTTCAAGAACTCATCGGCTGCAGAGGCCATGTCACAGCCTGATCTATCTAGAAAATTTTCCAGTCATAGAATCAAAAGAGTTAAATGTCAAAACTTAAACTCCATTCCGCATCACAAAATCAGTACCACCAAACCCTTTTGTTACACTAGGCATCACCAAAATCATGGTCAAACATGGATTTGATATTGTTACTGAACTATCAGTTTGAAGTATTTGGAAAAGGACAGAGAATCACATTTTGCTATCTAATGTTAATAATACCATACTTTTAGTGACTTTTCCCAATCAGAGCCACACACAGTTAGCAATCTTTCTTCACATGTAACTCTTTGTCTGAAACTTAACACTGAAAAATATGGCTTCTGCTGTTATCACTCGACAATCATATATGAATACATCTGTTAAAAAATATAGAAAAAAAACAACACATTTCTTACATATAGAGATGTTCATATACACATTGGTATACACATTGGTATAACATTTACTACCCTGTGACACAATCAGGCGAAGTCATTCCAGATCGGGTCATAATGATAACGATCAACAAACAAACAAAACAAAACACCAAGTATCACAACCTAAAAATACTGATTACTACACGCTTCATAATTTGGTTGAATCAAATTATAAAACAACAACCAAAAAAACATGGTAGGCATATTTCCAATGATGATATACAAAAATTCCTCAAAAGCCAAAACC